CCCCAAAACCCCAAAACCCCAAAACCCCAAAACCCCATTTTTGTTAATTTTGAATAATAATATGGCAGGAAAATCTTTATTCATTTGGATATTAGCCTTGACTCTCCTTTTTACAATAAGTCAAGGCCAACAAGAAGATACAGTAGACAGCACAGGTAAAGATACCACCTTTCAGTCTTCTGTATCATTTTTACAAATCCATCACAACAAATGCTTAATACCTAATTCTATAGGCCATCCAGAGATAAATCCTGAAGGAGATGTAACTATATCTCCCGAACCAACTGTTCCAGAGGGATGTGATCCTAATATCCCAAACCTAAGCGTTGGAATTGGTATTGCAAAGACAGCTGAGGAACTTAGAGAGTTCAAAAAGAACAACAAGGTCTACTTTTTGGGAATTTCAAGCAGTGTTTGAGAAAAATGATGTCAAGGAGAAGTCATTTTAGATCAAGTACACAGAGCTTTCACTGATGGAGAAGTTGCATACAAAAAGAAACCCATTCCAGTCATTAGAATTGATGTCACCACTTTTCAAGGTAAGGTGAAAAATTAATTTGTAGGTGATCTTTTGGAGGAAGAAGGATTGGATGTTCAGAAAGTTCCTAAATTCGCTTTCCATTTGAATGGAGTCACCCATGAGTATGCTGAGACTTTTCATAAAACATTTATTTTGCACTACATTAACAGGAAGCTTTATCCAGTAGTTTTACTCAAGACAGAGGATGAGATTAATTCATTTATCAACCCTGAGAAGGAGTGGTTTGAGAATACCCCATTCTATCAGGAAGACTACATTGGCTTTGCTGAATACTTCCCTAAGTTTAGAAAGATTACACGTGTTATTGCTTTTATTAACGACAAGAGAGATTTTGCAGACGAAATTAAACAACTGAAGGATACAGCCCTCTTGTTCAGTGGAAGAGAAGACTTAAGAGTAGCGAAGGTCACAGATAAGAAACTTGTAACGAAATATAAGAAAATGTATAATCTTGAATGGTTTAGTGAAGTCTCCTCAAATTCCATTGTTATGATAAAAAAGGACCATGATAGATCAAGCCCAATAATTAAGTACTACGATCTAAATACCCAAACTGAGTTGTTTACAGAGTGGATCAACCAGAACAGTCTTGAGCCTCTTGAAGAAATCTCTGGATTCTCGTTTAAAATTATTTCTCATCTTAAGAAACCAATGTTTATGGCATTTGTAAATAGAAATCACAAAGAATACGGGAAGGAGTCTGTTCAATTGCTAAAAATTCTGGAAGAAATTGCTCCAAAGTATCCCCAGTACATTTTTACATTCACTGAAGAAGATAGATACAGAGATACAAAGAAAGGTATTTCACTTTATTAAAATATAGAGCTTGAAATCACTTGGGATGAAGAGCCATCTCTATCACTGAATCATGTCCTCACAGAAGGCTCAACTGTATTCCCTAGAGGAAAGCCCTTTACTAAGAGAAATGTGATATACTATATTAACTCTATTATTGATGGGAGGATAAATTCGAAGCACTTCAAGCTGCCTGATTCTAAAAAGGAATACGTGAAATATCTAAAGAATGTCAAAAAGATCAAGAAGAACAAGTTTGCTGAAGTTGCCATGGATCAAGACAAGGATGTTGCCATCCTGTTCATAGACTCTGAGAATATAGATGACAGTGTAGAAAGAGTCATCAAAGCCTACGGTAAAGCAGCCAAGAGATTTAACGAACTTAAGATCAAATCTGTGAAGCTAGCTGTATTTGATACTGCAAAGCAAGCTACTCCTGATGGTTTTGACCTTGAAACTGACAAATCAAGCTCATGTAGATTATTCATCCTTCCTTCAGCACATAAGCATGAGCCTTACCAAGAAATAGAGGATCTTTCTACCCAAGAAATCATGACTGAGATCCAGAAATATGCTGATAAAAGCTTTGATCTCCCAGAGTTTCCTCACTTAGATGAAATAGAAATGTACCAGCTTGAGTCTGGTTCCTATCATGAAGATTTATAAACAATAAATCAAGGTTCAACTCATTTTTTAATATTGGGGTTTTGGGGTTTTGGGGTTTTGGGGTTTTGGGGTTTTGGGGTTTTGGGG